CACCTTGTCTCCAACAGCTAAACGCCGTGGTCTAGTCTTCATGTCATAGTGCTTCTTCTGCACAAGTTTGGCTTTCTGCAGCTCCTCCTTGGCTAGACGACAAGTGTTTTCAAGACGTCTCCGCAGGTCAACTACATAGCCGTACGAGGTCTTCGTCTCATCATCTAGATGATTACCAGTCCACATCTCTTTCAATATTGACATGGGCCCTCTGACGTAACGGCCATACAGTAAGTCAAACGGGGCGAAGCCCAAACTTGACTGCGGAACTTCTCTATAGGCGAAAAGTAAAGGCGCTAAGTACCGGTCCCAACTTTTCGGGCACTCTTGACACATTCGTCTTATCATTCGTTTAAGTGTGCCATTGAACCTCTCGACAAGACCATTTGCCATGGGATGATATGGTGTCGTCGGCAACTGTGTGAAGGATAGAAGCCTGCTGAATTCGCGCATTAGGTGGGACGTAAAAGACGTGCCTCGGTCGCTGATGATTTCCTGAGGTACCCCCACTCGCGAGAACATCTCCAACAGTGCTTCAGCGATCCTTTCTGTTTCAATGCTTGGCAGCGCCACCGCATCAGGATACCGCGTTGCCATGTCCACCATTGTCAAAACGTATCTATTCCCTTTTTCTGACTTGGGAGATAATGGTCCCACAATGTCAATGGCCACTCTCTTAAACGGTGTATCAATGACGGGGGTTTTACCCAACGGTACTCGCCCAACTAAGTGTTTTGGGAAAGTTCTCTGGCACGTGTCGCACGATTTCACAAATCGTGTGATGTCAGAAAGTACCCCTGGCCAATAGAACTCCTCGAGGATACGGTCTGTTGTGCGTTTTATACCCTGATGGCCCGCAAGAATTCCTTCATGAGCCATTTGCATTACACAATGGCGGAGGGCTGTAGGTACAACAAGTTGTTCAGTTTCTCTCTTCGATCTGAGCTTGTACCTCCTGTATAGAATTTCTTCTTTTGTGAAGAAAAGAATCTCGGCAAACCTGGTCTGGATGGGTTTATCGACGGCCTCAAAGCATTTCTGTAAGCTAGCGTCATCCCTCTGACTTTTCTGCAAGTCACGTGCACTCATATCTAGGGGACTTATTGTTGGTACCGGCAGGCGACGAGAACTCCGTCCGACTGTCGTGGCGACTTCGTTTTCCTTTGATTGCCTCGCAACCGAAGTGAATGCATCTGTAGTATAAGACCCAGTCAGCGATCCGTCGTCCGCTCCCACCCTAGATGATATTTTCATCGGACTAGCTGGACGTAGGTGTCTTTTCCAATCTTGATCAGGATCGGAGGCGTCACGGACCCCTTGGACGTTTCCCAGAACGACGTCATACAGTGGGTCATCCATGCAGATCGCGCGAGTCTTGCCTGAGAAAAAGGGTGAAATAATTCGCACGTCTGCCTCCGGCAGTTTCAGTACCCTTCGATCAAGAAGACACACAGAGGAAACTTTCCCCGTCAGATTGCTGACTGGTACAAGGGACCTTCTCACAATAACCGAGTCGCATCCTGTATCCGTAAGACCGTAACGGGCTGGTTTTCAAGGACGCCTTCGGCCGTAGGCATAGACTTGTCCTCCCACTTGATTCTCGTACGTTTCGAGCAATCAGTACCTTGCCGGGAAGCCTGTGTCTCCTGGTTTGATGCTTTCGGACCTTCTGCTTGCTCTTTCAGGCACGAGGCTTTACCGCTTCCCTTGTTAGGGCAGTCCTCTTTGCTATGCCCACTACGTCTACATTTTCCGCAGAAGGCTGGTTTTGTCCTTGGCCCTTTAGTATTTGCCCAGCAATCTGAGGCCTTATGACCGCGCTTTCCGCAAAGCAAACAATGTGGTTTGTCCTTTTCCTCTTTCCGTAGTGCGGCCTGCGCTCGATCTGGTGGCTTTTTATGGTCCTTGTCGTCCTTACCTTTACCAAGGTTGACGAAACCCTGCGCCTCCATATAATGATCAGTAGCTTCTACTAGCTTTTCAATTCCTCGGCAATCCCTTTCCCGCAGGAAGATTGCCAGCTTCTCGTGGCACTGCGTGATGAATTGCTCTGAAACAATAACGTCTCGTAGAGCTTCGTACGTCCGTTCGGTCTTGGCCATCTCTTGCCAATGGTCGAAATAACCTAGTAATCGCCCAGCGAACTGTCGACCCGTTTCGCAGTCCTCAGGCTTCGCCGACCGAAACTTAGTGCGGTAGCCCTCCTCTGTAAACCGGAAGCGCTGCAACAACGTTTTCTTTAACGTTGCGTAATCCATGGCATGGTCAGGTGCCATTCTGCCAACAACACTTAGCGCTTCACCTGTCAAACAAAGGCTCAGTGAAAGGGCCCACTTGTCTTGCGGCCAATCCTGGCTCCTGGCGACGCGTTCAAAGCGCTGGATGTACGCGTCCAGCTCGTCGCGAACTTCGTTGAAGGGCGGTATGAGTTTGTGCGGACTTTCGTAGCTTTGAGGAGAACCCATGTGCGGACCCTCTACTGATTGACCTGTAGTCACGCTACCCGTTGTCGCATCTAACTCTCGGAGCTTCAACCTTAGTTCGAGAACCTCCTTTTCTGCTTGTAGCCTCGCCAGTGCCTCGGCATCAGCTTCTTTTGCCGCATTGCGTTCGGCTAAACGTACTTCCCGCGCTTCTCGTTCACGTACGCGCTCCTCATCGATCCACTGCTTTAGCCCTGGACCGCTCAACCCCAGTTCCTTTCCAATTGCTGTGAGCTTGTCCGTCTCCATCGTCAACCGTCAGACCCGCATAAGCGACGCGCTGCTCTTTTATAGGATAAGAGCGGTCCTGTCGCGCGGACGCCAGATGTGAAGTTTGGTGGTGAGGTTCGTCGCGCCGCAGAGCGTGTGACGCGTTGCGGATGGAGGAGACGGTATCTGACGTTAACAAACCACACTACAATTGTATTTGACAGCATACACACACGAAATACATAAAGCGGCAGCGTACACTACTAGTCAATTGTCTCACGTGGCGGTGCTTGGGGACCAGGAGGCTGTGGGCTGGTTGAGTCCCTGTGATGACGTAATCGTCGTCGGGTAGATGTCCGGTGTGGCAACGACGTAGCAGCAGCAGGGGTTAAGGGCCGAGTGAACGAACCGTCGCTCGGTAGCCGGTAGCCAGACAGGGCTCGTCCGCGCCAGGCCAGGACCTTGCGACGCTCGTCTCGACGGCGGTGGACAATCTGGAACCTCGCGCGTAGGTGCGGGTTCTCCGAGAGCAGCAGGCCGCGTCCCAGGTCTTGCCAGGCGAGGACCGTGAGGCGCTCGCTGTCCCGAAGACAGGCGCCCTGTGTATGCGAACCTCGCGCGTAGATGCGGGTTCTCCAACAACCTGCCGCCCGTTCTGCCGGCGTTCCAAAAAAAAAACTGTCTCGCCTGCGCGCGCCCTTCTTAATCTTCTCTGCAGCCCGAGCTCCTTCGTTTTTCTCGCCTTCCAGCGATCGGCCACTCCGTCGTCTGCTCTCGCTTTCCCTGCTTCGTCACAGAGCGAAAGAAAGACACGCCTGAACGATAACCGATGCCAGCCAGGAACGCGAGCCGTGGCTTCACGTGCCACGGCCTAGCGCCTTCTTTATTTTCTTCTCTCGCCATCGCGCGCTCTCCGGTTTGCGCGCCGCCCGAACGAGGGCGCTACAAGGTGTTGCAATCTGCTCCCCTCACTTTTTTTATCTTGCGATGCATGAGTTATGAAAAGTGTTTTTTCTTTTATTTTGATGACCGTCTCGGCCGCCGCCGATGTATTAGTTAGCAGTGCTGACCATCGTACCACGAGGGCGAAAAGCCCGAAGCTCCCTTCCCTAGGCACTGCTCCATTATTTCTGCCGAGTGTTTTAGAATGTGCGTAGTGGCAGTTATGCTATCCACGGCTGGCTGTCTCCTGCACATCGTCAGCGCCACTGGCCAGGAATGCAGTCGTGAGGTCGGGCGATGGAGATGCGCCTGGGACCTCCGCAACTGCCTGCAGTCCGGCGCCCTCGTGAGTGCTGGTGGCAACCGGAAGACGTGTCGGCGCTAGTGACGGTTCGTCGCGCCGAAGGCAACGTTGCTGTTGCGGGACCGGTACTGAGGTGAAGTCTAGCCAGACAGTGCAGCAGTGTCGACCAGTGGCGGTGTTGTCGTGCACGGACATTATATAGGAAAATGGGTTGGCATATTTTGTTAGAGCTTGTGTAGCGGATTTTTTTTCTTATCGGAATATGGTTTGAATTAAGGTTGGCGGGATGTGGGGGTGTTGACACCCCCTGTAAAGTTTTTTGCGCTGCGTGGTGCACGTGTCTCGCCCAAAAGCCGCATTTCGGGTTACGAATATAGGGCGGTAAGTGGCATTGTGTTCGCGAGCGGTGATCACCACTATCATCATCACCATGGTGTAGCGCCAGCGGTGACAAGCCTTGGTAGCGGCGAGCGAGAAATAAGCTGGTCTCTTCTGCGCGTGGTGGTTACCGCGAACGGTTGTCTATAGCGTGGGTCCCCGGTGCGTGGCACCGCGGGGTGCGCGTCGGGGGCCCTCGTGGTAAGTCAAGCGTTGGCGACGCCGCCTTGGGTGTGGTATTGTGTTTGTGATGTTTGGAGTGTATGGTAATATTGCGTAAGGATGTCCTGGCGTGTTAATTACAACTGATGTATAATAATTCGGCTGCCCCTATCATCGTTAAAAATAGTTAAATAAATATATGTATTTTTGGTTTGTTCTGACCATGTATGCTGTGTCCGTTCACTCCAAGAGCGTGGCACTCATTTCGAGACCCTACAACCGTCACTGCCAGATTGACACAACGGGGCACGAGGACACAATCGAACCGATAATCTAATGTCAGTAGCAGAGATGTAGCCAAGGAAGGGGAGTTGGGTAGAGGGGGGTGAAACCTTCCTGAAAATTTTAAAAATTTGCTTGGGTACACACGCGAGCATACAAACGTACTGACAACCAGAAAAATTTCTGGCAATACCATTGAAAAGTGGTGTTTAACACCAGCGCAAAAACGGAAACAAATGAACTGAACGGAAGCATGCATTTTAATGGATCATGAAAGATATTCATGCTTTCACGATTGTCATACCCCGGCGACAACAAAACGTTTCTTGATATTCACAAAGTTCTATTGGGTGTGAACTGACGTTTAAAAAGAAGCTCTGAAGTCAGCATACAATGCGTTTTCGATGATTATGTTTGTAGAACATTTGCAGAGACGTGAAGGATGACACATATGCTCTGTAAAAAAACAATATGGCGAAATGTACAATAAACATTGAATATTTTTTTAATGAATGCGAATGTTTGAATGAAGCCTATTATTTTATTCACTTAATATAATTATTGTGTACCCTTCGCAACTTTTGGTCAAGCTCGGTCATTTTTTGTACTGTTGGCTAACGTTGTACATCTGTTTTTATGGCAACACAGTTAATTAAGGCATATCTGCTTTTGCGTCTCTCGGGTGAATGCTTGGCAAACGCTGACAGCATCGTCTGGTGAAATTCGCGGAAACGCTTAAACACGTTCACATTCATTACTTCGACAAATGTTACTTTTTATGCAGGAGTATCACCGTTTTACGTGCAGCGCGAGGTTTCAGATTTTCACACAAGCGTTCAGAACGTTGCGAGAGTGTTCAGCTTCAGCTTTGCTGATGATTGAGTGGCCGGGCTATCCCAGTGCGACAAGCGTAGCGGGTATGGTGCCTCCCAGTTCGGCCAGCTTCTCGGAGAAGAGGGTCCGCACGCTCTCTTCCACGGCGCGCCGGATTTCCTCCTCGAAGACCGTGGTGAGCACGACGGAGAGCGTGTTGGCCACGCCGCCCAAGGCCCCGAGGCCGTCGATCGCCACGCGTACGCCTTGCAGCTTCTGCACCGAGAACTTTCTCAGCTCGGGCTTGGCGTTGGGTGCCCTGCGAACAAGTCGCGCGTTTTCGAATGAACACACACAATACACAAGGTATACAGACGCCGCTACGTTACTGCAATTTGCCCACAAATGTAAGTGACATCAAAAACTAAAGCAAAAGTTTGTGAACTTAAGTGGAGCAACTTACGTATTTATGTTTTATTTTTTTATTTCGAAAGCCTGCCTTTAGGCCTAGTACAAATTTGCTTTATGCATGCAGTTAGTTCAACACTGAGTGATCGAATTAGGGTTAATGATGCCAGTGATGAAGATCGGGTGGTCGGCCAAGCCTCAGACCTGTAGTACGGAGGGGGCGAAGACGACTTAAATCAAGGCCTGTCCACAGCAAATGTGTCGCAGTCATATCGCGGATTGGTGCGTAACAAAATAGCCACGATGCATAATATATGGATCACGGTAATGTTGGGCACAGTGTTGTCACAGATTGGGTAAGCCCCGACATGAAGCCTTCAAGGCCTTGAGCGCCTTGTGCAGCCACTGAAGCTTTTACCACGAAAAATTATCCTAAAGGTCATCCAGACATTGAGAAAATATTGAGTGAGTTCAGTTTTGGGGTTCTGACTTTCAATGTGTCAAGTATGGGTGTTCCCTGAACGTTTACAGTAGTCGAACTTTTTCTTGGATGAAGGTCCATATCGATTCCGTATGAGGCCGTCGATGAAGTCACCGTAAATCCCGAGCAAGCGGAAGCCATGCACAGAGAGGCAACTGATGGACGCACGTCGGAAACTATGAAAAAAAAAGAGAGAGAGACAATGCTTCTGCAATCTGCGGATTTGCGTATACAAAATTATTCGCAGCAGTGGAACTACGACACGTCGTGATATTTCATGTTCACAACACACCATGCACTCCAGCTGTGGATGCTCCAGGGGGGTATGACAGCATACCGTAGTGTCAGTGGTGTGTGATTCGTCCTGAATGATCTACATGTAAGAAGGTATCCTTAATGATCGGGCCAGTACTAATTCTGTTCGCCTTTACCGTGTGACCGGTAATGTTCACTACAAGTTCCTGGTTGCCTTAAACAATTAATAGGAAGTGCGCTAAAGACGCGAAGCGCTCGGAACTGAGGGCAGAGCTCAGTTCAATAAAAGTACACTCTCTAGAAACGTTACTAAATATTTTCGTTGGTAAACGCGCACTATTCACTCGTTTCGAGCGCATTTTACTGCCTTCGCGACATCCTTGCCAGCAGCCACTAAAACTTCCCAATTTTCACCGTCACTAACCAGGGAGGCTTTCTTGGTATCGTTTAGCTAAATAACTACTAAGCTATCTATGTTAATAGATGCTTCGCTAATGACATAGTACATATGGCATGTGACAGCGTTATGCAATATTTAGGAAAACTTGTTTTTTTAATTACGGTGGAATATTCGTATTACGTGATGAAACACACATTCAAATAGTAGGGCATAAGATAATGGGTAGAATGCATAGATTATTCTATTAAATTCAGTGGCATTTAACTGGCACATGGTGCGCTATCCAAAAGTAGAAGCGCGATTGAATAGCCTTCGAAGTGCAGTTAAGGCAATTATCAGGGAAGTAGAAGTCTTAGTCTCCCTATTGGGTCTGTACGTGGGTGTGTATTCCAGTTTGCGGTTCGTCCATGCCTCTAGGCACGTTGCTGTGATGTGTGCTTATACCATTACTTACCATGACAATAACTTGATGTAATTAGTTATTAATAATTAGCGTAAATTAACAAAATGGTGTCATGTCATGTGGTTTCTACCTATATGTGATTTTGTAACACGATCGGCTTGATATGACAATGCGCACATACACGAAAACAAGAAAGGCAGTGATGTCTATTTGGTTAATTGTAGTTCACGGGTTGACGGTTGTAGCACGGCTACTACGCTGCTACAGTGTAGTCGCTAACAACTCTTTAGCGAACTAACCCTTCGAGTTTGTACCATTCGCTTACTAACCAGGTAGAGCATTTCACTAACCTGCGTTTTACTGTGTTGACTTACTAAGAGGTTAGCGCTTTTCTTGACAAGTAAACGTAAAGCCTTCTTCGACGCCATGATACACGACAGTCTGCTTAGGATCACTTCAGTAGCGGCGCGCGAACAAGCGCCTAATTTGTATAAAACGGGTTCCGAGGGCATTTGCTTTAACAGCTGAGTGTATAAGCTTCGCAATACTCTGAGATAATGCGCACAGAATTCAGTGGGTATGTGCCAAGCAGCTGCCAGCATACTGTTGCCATGCATAGCATAGTATATAGCAAGTGGGTGGGAAAGGAAGTGAGAGTGAGAGGGAAGGAGGGTAGAAGGTAAAGCTTAGTATAGTTTAGCAAGGGGAAGGGAAATAGAAATGGGAGGAAAACTAATGGTAGGGAGAAGGAGGCGGAAAGGGGAGGAAAGGGTAAAGCATATAGCATAACATGAGTAATGTAGCATAGCAAAGAGGCGGGAAAGGGAAGCAAGGGTGAGAAGGAGGGGAAAGCACAAAGCATAGCGTAGTCTTGTAGAGTGTAGTATAGCAAGAGGTTGGAAAAGAAATAGAGAGTGGGGAAGAGGGGAAGGCCACAAGGTCTGCTGTTTCCTCAGCCTCCACACCACCAGTGCTCAGCTGCCTGAATTTATTGTTGAAAAAAAAAAACAAAAAAAACAGGCAGTTTTTAGCTTCAAATAAATGCTTCATTCCGAGATTATTTGATTCCACTCTATAGCTCCGCCATAACGTATTCGTAATCAGTACTTTTTTTTTAGGGTTCCCTAACTTGCTGTTCAGTTGCATGAAATTGAAAGCGTATGCAAGCAAATAATCGCCCCGGTCAGCCAAAACGTGCTCAGAAATGTTCACTCACTGCACGGCTTCGACGATGATCTGCATGTTGTTGACGTCGCAATCGATGGTGACGTCCTGGCTGAACGCCATGAGCCTCACTTCTCCCCGGTAGGTGGCTCGCACAGGCCCGGCGCCGAGGTTCACGAGCATTTCGACGCCGCCCATTCCCACTTTCACGTGACAGTCGCCGGTCCTGCGAGACACCATCACGACAGTTGGGAATGGGAAGATCAGAGTGTGCCAGAAGGTAGCAAAGTTTTCGCTGGTCACGAAGCTACCGGGCAAGTTCATTGTTAAAAAATGAGCGTAATCAGCCACTTCGTTTCCCACTTTACTCGCTACATATTTGGTAGAAATGGATAGAAGATTTACGAGATTAAATTTCCAGATGAAAGAGCAAACTTTAATGCACACGAACACCAAATAAAATATAGTAGCACGACAACGCTTCATGCCAATTTTATCTTTTGTGCTACAGCCTGGTCTACACAACCTGGTGATTGCGTAGCCAGCTGACCGACCACGCATCCTTAGGCCAAAAAGGGAAACCACTCAAGCGCTAATATAAAACACATTGCATGGACATTTAAGTAAGCGCAATGACGAAAACAGCAAGACGCACAATAAATGCAAACAGTTTCAATGAGACAAAAAATCACAACGGACTGCATGATGATGAGTGGGGCTAAGCATCCGTCAGTTCGTCCATGCCTCCATCCGTCCGTGTGTCCATCTGTGCGGCCGTCCGTGCGTGTAGACACTAGAAAGGGTTACCACGTTAAACTCGCTGGGCGTAACCTCCTTGGTTTTAGCAAGGTTTAGCGAGGGTTGGGCCGCACTGCCATGAACTAGTGGTGGTGAAAGGTGGGAACTAGACACGAAGCGCAGGCCGTAAGAGAGTGTGCGCGTGCCGCTCCTCTAGTCCAGCCGTGTCATCTCTCGTTTAGCCCTTGGAATGTCCACTGGATGCTGGTTTCTCTATATGATGAATATAAATTAGAATAGAATACAATGGGATAGAATAGACGTTTAATTCATGAACAATACATACCATGAGCAGTGAGAAAAAAAGCTGCTTTTAGGCACCTTGACAAAGCTCTCATCCCGGTGTATCTTGGGCTTCGATCAGCATTTGACCACATACAATATTAATACATCAATAGAATATATACAAGTAATTTAAATAACACGTTGGCACACAATTTTCCTTGAGAAAAGTAGTACAAAAGGAACACAATACAGTGAATAAAGAGTACATGATGCCACACAAATCCTTATACAGTAACGAATTGCAAAACCTCTAAGTTTCATCATCATCATCATCATCAGCCTGACTATGTTCACTGCAGGACAAAGGCCTCTCCTATGTTCCGCCAGTCAACTCGGTCCTGTGCTTGCTGCTGCCAAATTATACCAGCAAACTTCTTAATCTCAGCGGCACACCTAACCTTCTGTCGACCCTTAACCCGCTTGCCTTCTCTAGGAATCCAGTTAGTTACCCTTAATGACCAGTGGTGATCCTGTCTACGTGCTACATGCCCGGCCCATGTCCATTTTCTTTTCTTGATTTCAACTATGATATGATTAACCCTGGTTTGTTCCCTAATCCACTCTGCTCTCTTCTTGTCTCTTAAAGTTATACCTACCATTTTCTTTTCCAAAACCTTTCAGTTTATTTCAGAATAAAAGAAATAAAGAACAGTCACGGAAATCAGGATAAAAATAAAATTAAGCATTTTAATAATGTTATATGTATTATTGCTTAAGCTGGTTGAATGTGAAGTACTCTATATGTATGTTCTGTGCATAAAAATTATTTAGCATTCTAGGAATGAGACAACACAATCTATCTTCCCCATAGTTCGTTCTGCTGAGAGGCACATCCCAATATTCAAGATGGCTAGTGTTATAGCTACGCGCGTTTACTTTTATTTAGCCAGGTTGTGTAGACTGTGTCTCTTTTCTAATTTCGTTCCGCAGTGCCAAACTTAGTTTAAAGTTATAGAGGTTGTCTAAACTAATTAAGCTGTACTTCTTAAGCAATGGTTCAGCTGAATGATCAGGAGTAGTGTTAGCAATCACTCTTAATATTTCGCTCTGGATTTTATAAAGTTTCAAAATATTTGTGGAAATGCTTGTTCCCCAAACAAGAAAACAGTATTAGATGTAAGAACTAAATAAAGAGTTGTAGATTAGACGTCTTATCTTTATTGGAAAGGAGTCACGATGACAGTAGATAAGTCTTAATACACGAGCCGCTTTGTTAGCTACATGCTCAGTATGCGAGTGCCATGACATATGTTTATTGAATACTACACCAAGAGTTTTAAATTTGTTAACTTCAACGGGGCTTCCATTTAGCAGAAGTGAATTGCACCGGGTACAAACTTCTTGGATTTTGCCCGTAATAGAACAGCTCGCGTTTTGGAAACATTTATAACTAGACCATTACACACGCCCATTCCGCCAGCCTAAGCAAAACCTAATTATCGCGTTCGAATAAGCGATCACTCTCATCGTCGGCCAAAAAAAGCGTCGTGTCGTCGGCATAGATAATACATTTAACGTTAGGGTCCAATTAACGTGCGGATGGACGGATGCACGGATGTACGGACGCGCGGACCACCGTCTGTGCGTCCGTCGACCCGTCCGTTCATGCATATGTCTGTCTGTCCATCCATCCGTCCATCTAGTAAGCACTCCAAGTACCGCCATCTCGTATCTTTTCATCATATATTCATGACATAGAAGTACCGCCATCTAGTGGACATTCCAAGCACTGAACGAGAGGTAATATGGCCGGACTATGGGAGCGGCACGCACGTACTCGGCCTGCGCTTCGTGTCTAGTTCTCACCTTTCACCGCCGTTAGTTCAAGGCACTGCGGCCGAATCCTCGCTAAACCTTGCTAAAACCAAGGAGGTTACGCCCAGCGAGTTAAATGTTACAACACTTTCTGATTTGATAGTGCTCGAAGTGTGTCCTTCTGTTATTAGTTATAAGGTCACTGATACTCGTCTTTGTTGGTTAGTTCATTAGAAACAACTACGTTTTTATTTATAACTAATGTGTGCGGGTTTCCTCCTCGATTCAAGAGGGTGCGCGCATGCCACTCCTCTATATATAGTCCAGCCACGGAGGTGGCTACCTACTACTACAGTGACTACTACTACTACGATGACTACTACTACTACTACTACTACTACTACTACTACTACTACTACTACTACTACTACATACATCGCGGACGCACGACCCACGGCTTATGGAGCTTCGCGCCTAAAGAAGCGCATGATAAAAAAGAACGCAGCAGTATGACAACTATTCCCAGTTCGCGTTTGCAGGCATTATCCTGTTTCACTTACTGTTAATCATATTTGAATTATTCGTTCACTTGCCTCCATTGCTCATCTATTGTCCTGCCAAGGCAGACATTGTGCCACAGCAGTGGCCCCAGGAAGGCAGTTGCCAGCCCTGTCCTTCCCTCTCTCTCTGCTATTGTGTGTACATGTGAAATCAGTGGTGTTTCGTGCAGGGAATTTTCGCCTGTCATCTTGAACCAAAGTACAAAAAAAGAAATAGTTGTGATATTGCAGGTAATTTCAATAATGGTTAAATTCTTCTGTGATTATCAATAATTAGCGGTCACAGTGCACCTTCATCAGTTGTAATCGGTTCTGGAGCATGCACAACGCAAGCATAACCCTTCGAATTTGTTTCGAAAATTTACGGGGAGCGATTTCTAGTTCACTATTGGTGTTAAACTTGAAGAACACAATGTTCAGTGAACTAACAGAATGTGAATTGATAAAGTCACACTTTTGTTGTGCGGCTTTGGAGGCGCAAGTCATGATTTCAAAAGTCAGCAGTACGTGAGACACGTGTAATTATATAAAGTTACGTGTAGATAGATTGGCGCGGAAATTTGAACTGTTGTGCAGAGAAATATGGTTGGAATTTCTTCAATATTTTCAGCGAAAAATCCCCGAAACAGAGAATTTAGTCTCTGAATGGGAATTATTTTGCGTAGTATGGAACATCACTGTTTGAATAATAATAATAATAATAATAATAATAATAATAATAATAATAATAATAATAATAATAATAATAATAATAATAATAATATTAATAATAATAATAATAATAATAATAATAATAATAATAATAATAATAATAATAATAGTTTATTGTTCATATCCATAACAAATACAAAAAATAGGCCTCTCTAAGTTACGAAGACTTGCGACTAAACCTGGCATAGCCGGTTACAGCGATGTGATTACAATGTTACAAAAACTATCGTTGCTTCTTTTTCCAACGAACAGACTAATGATCGACACCATCGCTTTTTTACACGCAGTAAATAAAAGTAAGAACACAGGAGGGCCCCAGAGCATACGTGACATATAAGTAGACCATGTGATTTTACAGCTCAGAGATTAATTTCTTCAATTGCTGTTTTGAACTAGCTGAGAAAAAACTCTTCAGGTAGTTTATTGAAAATGTTTGGAATATATACACCTCTACACGCTTCTTCATATTTGGTAAAAAACCGGGGTTCTACAAAAAAAACTTTTTTTCTCTCGGGGGTTGACGCGTAACATATCGCACTTTTATGTTGTCCTAGCAGTTGTATCTCAGCACAACTGTTTAAGTAAACAATCGCTGGAGTATATGAAAACCTAAATTACAAAAAGAGAGAGAAATAAATAAAAGGAAGAGACAGGGAGGTTAACCTATAGGCGAACTGGTTTGCTACCTTGTACGGGGGTGGGGAAAAGGGTCGGAAAGAGGATATAGAGAGATATAAAATAAATTAGAAAAAAAACCCACATGCGCACACATTCAGGGAGTTCCGATCACAGTCGTTTGGACAGGCTGGTTGAACGCAAGAAGCGCAGGAGCGCCTTCACAGCCTTCTTCTGCGACAAAAAGTCCTGTCGGCAGCGCAGGATTCTTTCTTCCGAAAGAGGCTGGTTCTCCAGTTCATCTAATGCATTGCAGAGTGACTGTCTCTGCGAGTAGTATTGTGGGCATTCACACAGAATGTGCCAAGTTCTTTCATCAATGCCACGATGGTCGCATGCAGCAGTTTCAGCCATTTTTATGCGGAACGCGTTCGCATTGGTAAATGCGACGCCCAACCATAATCTGCACAGCATAGTAGCGTCTCGTCGGCGCAATTCCGGA